CAACCAATTTGATATTTGAAATTTGTACAGTCGTCACGTCACTTCCAGTCCAGATCTACAAGACGTTGTTCTAGGGAGAGTCTTTCCCCCCATCCCTTCTGCGGGAAGAACCTTCGATCCGCGCGGATTTGCGGGGAAGGGAAATTGCCGATCAGCGCGGAAATTGCCGTTCACTCTTGCACAAATCCCGGACGTGAATTTTGACGGTGGCAAAATGCTCATCGTGCAATTCTGCATCTTTCCGTATATTCACATTTTTTTCGATCGGGCTGGCCCAAAAAAAATTGGCAATCGTATAGCGTATTAGCTTGCGTTTAGCGTTTAGCGTGTAAACGCTAGCGTATATCCGCTAAACGCACAGTGTCCTGAGCGTATTTGGCAACTTAGGTGTGAACATGAATCTGACCACAGAGAAGGAAGAGTGTGAACATGAATCTGACCAGAGAGAAGGAAGAGTGTGAACATGAATCTGATCTGACCAGAGAGAAGGAAGAGTGTGAACATGAATCTGATCTGACCAGAGAGAAGGAAGAGTGTGAACATGAATCTGACCAGAGAGAAGGACGAGTGTGAACATGAATCTGACCTTACAATGGTGATTGTGGTGTTTGTGGCAGGCACGATAACGTGGGGACGTGGTTCTGTTAGGATGAAAAGGAGGGAGGGGAATACCTCGTACGGGTGGAGTTCCATCAAGGACATGGAGTCTGGAAAGAGATAGTCATGGCGGCGGGTCTCCACTCTCACTGCTGCTGCAGCACTGCTATCCCTGCACTCTGCTCCATGGGGTAAGGAGGGATGGGGGTGTGGGGGAAGAGGCGAGAGAGATGGGCGGACACGGATGATGAGAGGGGCGGACACGGATGATGAGAGGGGCGGACATGGATGATGAGAGGGGCGGACACGGATGATGAGAGGGGCGGACACGGATGATGAGAGGGGAAGTTGGGGAGGAAGGAGAGCCAAAGGAGAAAGGCCTGGAACACTGTGGGGGGTGAGGTATTGCGGAGCGTTAGGAAGCTGCAGTTTGTGAACGACCAAGGTGTGGTGTAGAGGGAGTTGGGAATTCAGGGGAGGGAGGAGGGAGGAGGGAGGGGGGAAGAGGGAGGAAGGAAGAGGGAGGAGGGAAGGAGGAGGAAGAAGGAGGGAGGGGAGAGAAGGGAAGGAGGAACTGCCATGTTTCCCACCCTTTAGCACTTGCTGAAGAGAAACTGTCATGGCTTAGGGAGGCCTTGCTGGCCTTGCTGGTCTTGCTGGCCTTGCTGGTGCATGGGAATTCTCATCTCCTCATCTCTTGCTCGGGCCCGAGCTGTTGCTGCTCGAGGCAAGGGACCAGCTCTTCCGGATGGCGTGCAGCAGAGCAGCTACATTGGTTGGTAGTACACTCGCACCTTCCTTGTACCGCCCACGCTGCTTCCTAGACAACGACTCCGGACTCCTTCATCTCTTTCACACACCATCGCCTGGGCTGGGCCCCAAAGGCAAGCCCAAGGACTTGTGTGCCTTGGACCCACAGGCAAGCCCAAGGTCTTGTGTGCCTTGGACTGCTGAGGTTCCACCAACCATCGCACTCCTGCCAGCCGAGCCTCAGCCTTCCATCATCTTGCACTGCTGATGCCTCTCAGCATCCCGCAACTGCGCTGGGAGCAAGCTATCCTATCCAGGGCTACACCCTTGTCACCGTATTGTACTGTACCAAGCCTAGGTGTGTGCGATTGTGCAGCAACTTCTCAAACTATGTACAACTGTACTGACTGACCGCGAGGCCTGGCCTCCTACATGAGGAATACTGTGCAGAACCCGATGTGATGGGCACTGTAATGCTCGTCTTGCCAAGTTGGTCTTGCCAAGTTGGTCTTGCCAAGTTGGTCTTGCCAAGTTGGTCTCTAAGTTGCAATATACGCTTATACGCTTATAGTATATACGCTAGCGTATGCACGGTATCCGCTTGGGGGTCGACTTTGGAATACGCTTTTCCGGGCAGGGAAAAAACTTTCCCCGGCAGGGCAAAAAAAACCACTTGGGAATTTTTTTGGGGGGGGGGGGAGGGGTGAGGCATTTTGGGGGTTTTGCAACACAGCTTTTTTTCCCCATAATAAGATTACGACACCATACACACACACAGATATCACTAATACTCTCCTGCCACCCTAGTTCTAAGCGTACTCGTCCTCCAGGACGTCATCCTCGCCTTCCTCCTCCTCCACCTCCGTCTCATCCAACCCGTTGTACCCCTCGGGAATAGGAGGCTCGTCCCCAATCCCTGGCACAACCTTCGGCATTACATCTGCGCGCGAGTGCCAGTTGCGCACAACATTCCAGTTGTGCGCAACAAAAACCAGGTCCTGGCACTTTACAGATCCGAGGCGGTTCCGGCGGGCTGTGTGGACTGCATCCCAAGTTCCCCACCCACGCTCACAAGGGGATGCCGATACAGGCTGAGATAGCACCCTCACGGCGAAGCGCATCAGGTGAGGTGCATCTGTGCCGTTCCACTGCCACCACTTCACCATGCTGTACTTACCCGCCTTCACCTTCTCCCTCTGTGCAAGCGCCTCCGGCATCCCAAAACTGCCTTTCATGTCCAAGAAAGCCCTCAGCCCGTCACCCAAGGCAAGCAAGTAATCTGGACCCTCATCCCTCCCCTTCCCGTCATGGCCGATGAGGAACTCCACGTGCTGGTTGATTAACGCCTTGAAAACCCGGGTGCATTCGGCGTCGCTGCCAAAGATGGCCTCCTGGTTGGCGGGGTTGAGGATTTGGCCAGCAACGTGCATGGCGCAGGCGAGGTTGATATCCCAGCGGTCCTTGATGATGCTGCAGATTTTTTCCTTGTCCGCGCTACTCAGCTGCTGCTCATCCTCGTCCAGGATGTTGTTGACATCCTCGGTAAGCTGCAGCATTACATCGTAGAGCCGGCCCATCATCCCATTGGCATCTGCGTCAGTCTGCCGCATCGCCTTGTAGGGCAGTTGCATCAGCTTGCAGAAGAATTCTGCCGTCCGCCACCATGCGTCATCGAGGACCCGTGCAGCAAAGGCCTCGGCAGTTTCCTTCCGCGACCCCGAGGCCCACTCCTTCCACCTGTCGGAAAGCACCATCGCGTTGAGGGTGCTACGCAACTGACAAAGGCGGGACACAGCAATGTATTGTGTCCCAAACCGTGTTCCCGCTGGCTTCAGCTGCTGCAGCACCTTCCCCTCCACCAACTCCTTGGTCCTCAGGTAAGCGCGCGTCCAATGATGGTTGCGAACGAACGAACTCATCTCCCCAGTCCGATCCACCACCCTTTTTGCCCACCCCATCTTTCCCACGTCCTCCAGGAGGAGATCCATCACATGCGTGGCACAAGGGACCTGCTGAATGTGGGGCCACTTGGCAATCAGCTCCTGGACAGCCACGGCATAGTTCGACCCCCCATCCATACAAAACGCGACTACATTTTCTGGTCCTACCTCCTCCACCACCGACTGCAAAATCCCCGCTATGTATCCCCCCGTCTTCCGCTCCATACCGCAGTCGATCGCCTCCTTGAAGACGATGCCGGAGTCGTTGATCAGAAGCACGTTCGCTTGCGCCCTCCCACATTTGTCCGTCATCATGTCGGACGCAATTGTTACCCCCGTCTTCTTCCAGCTCGATTTAATCCCCACCAGCCCCTGCTCAATCCCTTTGCGGACAGCGACCAGTCCAGCCCCGCCAATGAAAGTCCTCCTGGGGGGGACGTAGCCGTTGCCGGCGCGGTTGACGAGCAGCATGGCGTTGATGAACAGCGGGTGGTCCATGGTGACCTCCGGGATTCTGCAGGCCGCAAACATCAGCGCAAGGCCCTCGTGAGCATCCCGCTTAGCCGCAGCGGCATCTCCCTCCAAGTAGTCGGTTATGCGCCGCTTCCCTCCGCCAGCCTGTACTGCCGCAACTGCAGCAGATGTTGCTCGGCGCTTTTCCTCGATCGCGGCAGCCATCTTTTCGTATTTGGTGCGCATCTCGTTGCGTACGTCTTGCGGTGCCTCCTTGCAAAGCGTCACCTCGCGACGCTTCATTCCCTTCCACGAGCTCAGGTGCTGCGCGCAACGAATGGCTGCACCGGTGAAAACATTGAAGCAGTACTTACACTCGTACTTCTGTGCTTTGCCTTCTTCCCGCACAATGAGGCTGAAATGTTTGAAGACAGCGTGTTCCGGCATGTCAGGAAGGTAATCCCTACCCTCAGGTCGAACAATCCGAGAACTCTGCACTGTCTGAACGGATGGCGGTGTGCATGGCGGGCTAGACATTACGAAAGAGACGGGGAACTGATGAATTGCGTAGTTGCTTGCAACCCACTAAGTAGCACAACGAGAGAAGGGAACATTGGGACATTTGGTTGGAGTGAGTAGATGGGAGGGGATTCAATGCGGTAACAAACAGAGCGCACAAAGTGTGTACGTGAAAACGCGACTTGACAAATTGGCACAACCAATCTCGACTACGTGGGTTGAACCCACGTCCACGATTGGACAAGTCACGTATGTGCAATTCGCGTTCTGCAAAAAGCCACGTCCACAATTGGACAAGTCACGTTCGTGCAATTCGCCTTCGGCAAAACGCACGTCGTGAAATTCCGCATCTTTCCGTATGTTCGATTTTTTTTCCGCCGGCTGCCCCAAAACAAATTTGCCGAGCGTATAGCGGATTCGCTTGCGTATTGCGTGTTGCGTGTATACGCAAGCCGATATCCGCTAAACGCAAACAGGCCTGAGCGTTTATTGCAACTTAGGTTGGTCTTGCCAAGTTGGTCTTGCCAAGTTGGGGTGACGTGACTACCCCAGAGCAGCCCAGGGGCCACGTCTTGCCCAATGCTCATTCCACCCAGCTCAGTGCTCACCTCACCCGGCACACTCACAGCCCCATCTTCATTCTCTCTCCCCGCATAATCTTCTGTAGTGTAACTCATACTACATTGCTGCTGCCCCTGCTGCACGCGAATAACTCGTCAAGAGCCCACTTCACTCTGGCGGCTAGACACTAACGGGACAAGGAACGCAGGGATGAAGGGAGAGGAGGTTGGGAGGGAGGCAGAGTGGCAGGTCACCTGGTGGGAGGCTGTTGGCTTGCTGCACCTCCCGTTCCAGCAAAGGTGGTGTTGTTGACGGCAGGGGTAGTGACGGTGATGCTGCCTCGACCGCGCTACCTGCCGCTAGGACCCGATGGAGGGCACCATCAGAACCGTCAGTGCTGCTCGCCGCTGCTGTTTCCTCGCGTGTGTTCTCAGCAGCGTTTCCAGCAGCAGCATCGCCAACCGAAGCACGGTCAGCAGAAGCATGGTCAGAAGAAGCATGGTCAGCAGAAGCATGGTCAGAAGAGTCAGAAGAAGCATGGTCAGCAGAAGCATGGTCCGAAGAAGCATGGTCAGAAGAAGCATGGTCAGAAGAAGCAGGGTCAGCAGAAGCATGGTCAGCAGAAGCAGGGTCAGCAGCAGCAGCAGCAGCAACAACCTGATGTTTCAAACCCGCCCGCGCGTCTCCCCCATAAGCCCCCCATTGCCACGTAACCCCTGCTCCCTCGCGCTCCGCCACCCTCCCAATTGCCACCCCCGCCGTCCCCGTCAGCACTAGCGCCACCGCGATCGAGCGCCAGTACAGGGTCAGATGGAATAGTAGCTGCGCGCGCCGCATGCGTCCCAAAACAAATATCGGACAAACAATCATACTGGATTGCTGAAGGATTCAGTAATCCATGTCTGTGAAACTAAGAATGATGATTACCATAAGCATTCTAATTGTGCTCACCCAGCCCTAACCCAAAATTGACCTGAGAGTCACCTTCGTGTTAGGGATGCTGGTCAAACGAGAGTCAATGGGTCCTCCAGATTGATCTGAGCGCCTACCCGAAGGCAACTTTGGGGTCACTACTGTTCATCCAACTTCGAAGTTTGACGAGGGGGGTTCGGCTGAAAGCGGCAAAGAAATAAACACAAGGGAAGGCAATTGGGGTGCACCACCAACTATAGGATGCACTATAGCTGCAATAGATTCCATGCTAAGGTAGTTTATATATACATCAGATATGACACACACCTCACTTGAACCATACACAAACCGTTTATTAATAGAGCATAAATGAATTTTTTAAATGACGGCAGCAGCCTGGCACTCGGTCATGTTGGTCATGGAGTAGTTGTTGTTGCTAAAGCGGAGCTCCTGCACGCAGGGGCGGAAGTCCCCCGTCCACGCATACACAATGTTCAACGTCTCCCCGGGTAACATCTACAAATCACCATTAGCGCCGCGGTTCATGTGCACCTCACAGTACCCCGGCAGGGCCTGCACAAAAATATTGCCTGTCTGGTACTGCGTGGGGTTGGGCGCGGGGTTGTCTAGTATGCCCTCCCACACGTTGTCGAAGTTGAAGCACTGCCACACGCGCAGTGGGCTGGTGACGTTGTAGGCGCAGCCGTTGTAGAAGGTCATGTTGTAGATGTCGTTGTGCAGGTCGTACGGCCCCAGGTACTGCGAGCGGATCGTCACTGTCGTGCGCCCACATGCTGGGAAGCAGGCAGGGGTTAGGGGCAGAGAAAGGTGAAAAAAAAATGAATCGTTATTCCCCCCCCCCCCCCTTCCAAATGCGGAGGCAGTGAAAGGAGATCCAAGAGGAGCATGGAAACGAAAAAAGTGAAGAGCAGAGATATGGAAATCAAGGGGAAGGAAGAACAAAGAGCCAGGGGAGCAGGGAAACGAGAGCCATGGAGAGCGGAGAAATAAGATGCAAGGGGAGCTGAGAATGGGCACCAAGGGGAGCAGAAAGGGCAGGGCAGAAATGAGATGCAAGGTGAGATGTAAAGGAAGGGCAGGAGGGATCAGCAGCGCTTACAGGTGGCGAGGGCCTGGCAGCGGGGGATATGGTTGAGATAGTCGGGCAGAGGGGCGTGGTGAGCGAAGGTCTCAGCCACCAGAATGCGCCTGCTTTCCCCTGGGACTAGCGCCCTCTCTGCCTTTGTCACGTCCCGCGCTCCACTCACCGCCGCCACCAGCAGCCCCACCGCCAGCGCTGCCACCACCAGCACGCGCATGCCAGCCGTCGCCATGAGGGTGAGTGTTTGAACGGATGTGGCTGCTAAAATGCCTCGGAATTCTGAGACGAAGCAGGATTCGGCTTGCACAGAAGCTGGAGAGTGCTGGAAGGCTGTTGAAAAAGCTGCTGTAAGATGCTTGAGGTAGAGATTGATGGGAGAGGCGGATTGAAGCTGATGATCCCATGGCTGCACATGGCGCCAGCCTTATAGGCGGAGGTGAGAGGTGCTTTGGCAAGAAGGTGCGTCTCACTGAGTGAGTGAGGTGAATGAAGGGTTCCTGAAGGCGACGATCATTGGAGGAGAGGAGTCGTGATGCAAAAAAAATTGCATCACAATCGTTGTTACGGATGTCACTGTTGTCGCTGTTGTTACGGCAGTGGCGATAACTCTGACTCGACACATTTCCACGAAATCGCATTGACCGCATGACCAGCCGCGATGTTAACGCGGTCGTGTCGCTCGCGGGACAACGCGCGCTGCCAGTGAGTGTCGTGCTGGCCGCCACGCAAGATCATGAGAGTCTAAGTTAGACTCGCGAAATGCTTCACTGTCCACGCAGCCGCTCCGTTCATTCGAATCTTGGCGGCATAAGAAGGCAGTGAGACGACACGTGGAGTCAGGACGGGCGAGCCGCTCGTGAGATCTCCGGCGATTGTCTCGGAGCTCTTCAGCGACGCTTGACTCTTTGACTCTACATTTTGGAGATGACCAGCAAATCACAAGCTGGTGCGCGTCGGTATTTCCACTGTTTGTCGCCTATCGACTGAACGTTAGCAGGAAGAAGAGAATTGACGAGGGAAAAGCAGCACTCTAGACAGGCCAAGAACGTCGTTTTTCCTCGCTGCGAGAGAGCCCGATGCCCTCGCTGTAGTATAGTGAGCCCGATGCCACGCAAGGGAAACCTCACTTGTACACCCAGACGCGCTACCCCGCTGGGTGACACAGCACGCTGGAACCGCATGACCTGGCCAGCTGCTCCAGGCGAGACCAGCTGACACAGCACGGACTCACCCCGGTAACCCGTCGAGGATCCTTGCCGCGAAGTCGCAGAGGCATTTCGGCACTCGCGTGCGACGAAAATGTTACAAGGCCCTCAGAAGTTATAAGTTTTATGCTGATTTGGGGTTTGAAGCTGATTTTCAGGGTGTTTTTGTGTCGTAAGGCTGATTCAAAGGTGGCTTTTATCACGGTAGTATTGATTTCGTGTCCGTAGGGATGACATGTCAACAATGGACATGTCAATCCGAAGCGCATTCGAATTGGAGTATCCAGAACTGTAGCTTAAGTGTTAAGACAAAGCGCATGTACGAACATCAGCGACGCAATTTCATTGGTTTAAGAACTTGTCATTTGTGGGCCTCCTAGGCAGCGAACGATTCAAATGACGGGTAGTATGAAGAGAAGTATGCTGATTGGGCAGCATCTGATCATGAGATAGGCAGCTGCGACAATCTTATTTTGTTTGTATGTATGACTGTGCCAAATTCAAAAGTGTCCAACTATTCGTATTGGCTGACAACCTGCAATTCCTTGACACGCTGCCAACAATGTTGGCTGAGTGTCAAAATGCCAAATTGACACTGTTAAGTGCCCACTTTGACATATCCCCCCTTCCCCCCCCCCCCCCCCCCCCACCCCCCCCCCCCTGGACACGACCTGATTTTCCAACTGGGTTTTCAGTACCAACACGGAATTTTCATACTATTTGAGGCACGTAAACTGATTCGTAAGGGCACGTGTCTTTTTTCAAAGTACAATCTTCTCGTAGGCTGTAGTGGGGCACTCCTTATGGGGTACAGCACTTCTAGGGTTAGTACTTGTACCCCAACTCTTGCTAATCCCATCATTCCTGCACAGTGATTCTGGCATAGTATTCAGAGCAGGAAACCTGTTAAGTTTTTAGGGCCCACCAATCGTTTTGCTAAGTTCGTGCCCGAAGCGCCCTTGCACTAAGTGGCCCTCTCGCACAGTGTCACGCTGCCCTGCAGCTACTCGCACTGCCTGCCCTATTGCGCTGCCCTATTGTCACGCGCCCCTGCTACCCGAGAGCAGCCCCTGCCCCGCGCGCCCATGCTGCCCGCGTGCAGCCCCTGCCCCGCACGCCCCTGCTGCTTGCGAGCAGCCCCTGCCCCGCGCGCCACTGCTGCCTGTGAGCAGCCCCTGCCCCGAGCGCCACTACTGCCTGTGAGCAGCCCCTGCCCCAAGCGCCCCTGCTGCCTGTGGGCAGCCCCTGCCCCAAGCGCCTCAGCTGCTCGCGAGCAGCCACTGCCCTGCGCGTCGCGCTCTGCTGCAGCTCGCGCGTCGCGCTCTGCTGCTCCGAGCGTCGCGCCCTGCAGCCCGCACGTCGCGACCTGCTGCCCTGCGCGTCGCGCTCTGCTGCAGCCCGTGCATTGCGCCCTGCTGCAGCCCGCACGCCGCACCCTGCTGCCCTGTGCGTCGCGCCGTGCTGCAGCCCACGCGTCGCGCTCGGCTGCTCCGCGCGTCGCGCCCTACTGCAGCCCGCGCGTCGTGCTCTGCTGCCCCACGCGTCGCGCCTTGCTGCAGCCCGCGCGTCGCGCCCTAATGCCCTGCACAGCACGCGCCCTGCTGCCCGCGCCGCCCAGGCCGAGCCTTGCCGCCAGCCCGAGCCGCCCTGTCCAACCCGAGCCACCCTGCTACTCGTGTTACTGCTACTACTGGTGGAGGTGCTGCTGGGAGTGCTGGAGGTGCCGCCGCCCAACCCCACTAAGCCGCTATGCTGCTACTACTGCTGCTGCTGCTGCTCGTGCTACTGCTGCTGCTGGTGCTGGAGGTGCTGGACCTACTACTGACCGTCACTACCTGTCATGGCCACTATCACGGCAGTTGCAGCGGCTAGGGGTCGACAGCGGTGGTCACTGCCTCTCCCGCACGACCCCACCCCTCAGCAGCTTCCTGAGCGGGTTTTTCAGCGAGCCCGTCCAGGTGGTGGAGGCTTTGGTTTTCTGCGTACTGCACAGCGGCGGCAGCGGAGCCAGGAGGAGACCTTCTCCCCGCAGCAGCTTAGTGCGTTTGTTTCTCAGCGATATGCCACTAGTTCTGTCGAGGCTGCTACTCTAGGTGCTGGTGAGTCTTGCTCCGCACTAGGTGCTAGTGAGTCTGCTGCCACCCTAGGTGCTAGTGAGTCTGCTGCCGCTCCAGGTGCTAGTGAGTCTGCTGCAGCTTTAGGTGCTAGTGCGTCTCCGGCCACAGGTCCTGCCTCAGCTGAGGCCTTGCACACTTTCACACTTGACTCAGGCGCGTCACATTGCTTCTTTCGTGACTGCACCACATTTATACCACTTGCTGCACCGGTACTAGTCTCATTGGCTGACCCGACTGGGGGCCCATTGGTTGCACGAGCCTCCACTGTCCTCCCGTGTCCAGTAGTCCCCTCCGGTTCTCTGTCGGGTCTCCACCTCCCCACGTTCTCGACAAACTTGGTGAGCAACATTGTTTCAAGATGTCTGGGTTGATACCTTTATTCCTGGAGGGCAGCGTGTGGCGATTTGTACGTGCTCTCGGACTGGCCGTCACCTTGCTATGTTCACCCGACGGCCTGGGTCTAGTTTGTACACGCTGACCACTGCGTCTGCACAGGTGGCTGAGTCAGGTCAGGTGGCTGCGTCGAGTCAGGTGTCTGCGTCTGGTCAGCTTGCGGCGTCTTGCTCGTGTTGGGTACTCTCCCACCAGACTCTCCTCTGGCACCACCGCCCCGGTCACCCCTCCATGCCGCGTCTCCGCAGCATGCATTCCTATCTCCTTGTCTCTGGCCTTCCCAGGTCCTTGCCCTCCCTCCCGCGCTCGCCTGCACCGCCGTGCCTTCCTTGCGTCGAGGGGCGGCAGCGCTCCGCTTCTCACTCCTCTGAGTTTCCTCCGACCACTACTCATCTGCAGACTCTCCAGATGGACGTTTGGGGCCCAGCCCCCGTCGGTGGAACAGATCAGGAGCGCTACTTCCTGCTGGTTGTTGAAGACTACACACGCTACACCACTGTCTTCCCCTTGCGACGCAAGGCGGACGTCAGTGGTGTTTTGATCCCCTGGATCCGTGCTACTCGTTGCCATGCCCTTGTCGGGACTTCCTAGTCCTGCGTCTGCACTCTGACAGGGGCGGTGAGTTCTCTTCTTACCTCCTTGCGGAGTTTTGTCGAGTCGAGGGCATCCACCGGTCGTTCACACTTCCGGCCTCTCCTTAGTGAAATGGGATTGCTGAGTGTCGCATGGGCTTGATCATGGAGGTTGCTCGTACCTCCATGATCCATGCGGTTGCTCCCCATTTTCTGTAGCCATTTGCGGTCCGATACGCTGCGCATCAGTTCAACCTCTGGCCCCGTGTCTCTGAGTCAGAGACCTCGGCCACACTCTGTTGGACGGGGAAGGTTGGCGATGCGTCGGTGTTTCGGGTCTGGGGCGCGCACTCCCTTGTTCGTGATGCCAAAGCGAGCAAGCTCTCCTCTCGCACTCCCCCCCGTGGCAGTTCTACCACCCGCGCTCGTGTCGACTCTTCTCCTCCCAGGACGTCACCTTTGACGAGTCTGTCTGTTTCTACAGGCTACACCCGCACGTGTCCCACCCGGTCCCCCTAGCGCCTCTTTCTTGGTACCAGTCCCCCCCCTCGGTAGACCCCCCCCCCCCCCCCCCCCACATGGTCCTGCTCCCTCAAGTCTGTCTCAGGTAGACCCACCCCCCTTGGTTGAGCCTTTGGAAATCTCTTATGACTCCTCTGGCCCAGTTGAGGGGGATGAACCCGCCGCTGACGACACGGCGGCCACTCGCCGCTCTCCACGCTTGGAGAACCCCCCTGGTTTTCCGCCTCGGCCGTCATCGCCGCCTCCGCAGCCTGCTACTGTTGACTCTGGAGCTGAGACGGCTGGTGCTGAGCCTGGGGGTGCTGAGACAGAGGGTGAGGGTTCTGGGGGTGCTGCGACTGGGGGTGCTGCAACTGAGGGTGCTGGTTCTGGGGTTGCTGCGACTGGGGGTGCTGACTCTGGGGGTGCTGCGAGTCCTAGTGG